GTCATATCTTGGAAGAGAGTTGTCTGAGATGAGCCTGGCTCGCTAATGGGAATTTCTCTTCCATCTTCAGGTACCAGAACCACCACAGGTGAGGCCTCATCTGGAAAGCAAGGCTATTCATGTTCCTCTCTTCCAGGGATGCCTTACTCCCTGCCCTTCTCATTGCTTCCCATATTGGGCCTTTCAGCAATATCGATGCCATCATTCTCTCTTGTGGGGCCTCCTTGTTGGTGGGGCAACATGACCTGTTGACCTGACTGGTATTTGCAGCCATTCCCACAGCAGGCATTTGAGAAAAGCAGCCTGAGTTCTAACTGGATCCCAGCTTCTGGGTGAGCTGTTTTACACACCACAGAGCCTCTCTGTGGCTGAGTCATCCAAACTCTAAAAGGGAAATAGAAGTCAGCGTAATTGGAAACTTCATCCCGTTGGTAAAGATTAGCAGGTAAATGCAGAGCATATAAAAGATGGGTGTAGCATTATTATCAAAAATAGCCATGAGAAGATAGACTGCAGAAAGATCTAGCAGGAGCTTGACAGAGGATGGACACTGTGGTACAGGGGCCCAGTGTCTGCACATGGATGGTGCTGCTCTCTCCCAGAAACCACCTACCCTTTGGTCTTATCTTCTCAGTTTTCTTCATGGGCTTCTCTTCTCACACCTTCCCCTAAAAGTCTGGCACTCCCAGGGCTCCCCCCGCCACCCTCCTATTCTCACTTCATGCTCTTTCCCTAAGTAACCTCACCCATTTTCACAGCTAAAATAACCGCCATGTAGCCCTGACCAGTTTGGCTCAGTGGATAGAGCATCGGCCTGCGGACTCAAGGGTCCCAGGTTCGATTCCGGTCAAGGGCATGTACCTTGATTGCGGGCACATACCCCAGTGGGGAGTGTGCAGGAGGCAGCTGATCGATGTTTCTCTCTCATCGATGTTTCTAACTCTCTGTCCCTTTCCCTTCCTCTCTGTAAAAAATTAATAAAATATATTTAAAAAAATAAAATAACCGCCATATGCTACTGACAAGGAAATGGTTGTCTGACTCTGACCTCTCTTCAGAGATCTTGAGCAGCTGAACCACCTGCTGAACCAAAGGCAATGACACTCAACTGATCTAAAGTGGAGTTCACCATCTCTCTCTTCTCACCCCAAACCTGCTGCTCCCCTGAATTTTCTGCCTTTTCTGTATTTTCTATCTCCCCAAACCTGAATCAAAGAAACCATTCTGATTAGGCTCCTTTCTTTCTCTCTCTGACTCCCTGTTCTTCCCTTATCTTCACGGACTATCAGTTCACTTCCTTTCCTTTTCTGCCACTGCCCTCCCAAGCTATCTCCAAGGGCTTGGACTCATCTTCTGGACTTCATTCTCACAATCCTCCAGTCCAGCCTCTCCATTGACATCATCTTTCTAACATACTCATCTGACTAAGCCTCTACTGCTTGATTTCAGCAGCTTCTCATCACCCACAAGATGAAGTCTACCTTCTCTGTTTCAGAATTACAGATCTCAATCATCTGACCCCTGGCTATTTGCCCTGCCTTGTGTCTAGCCATTCTCTATCATTCACCCAAGCATTTGCTTGACCCCAAAGGCTCTCTTAGACATGCGCTTTATTTATATACTGTTCTGACTTCCTGTGATGGCTTCCTCAATACGGTCTGCCCAGTGATTCCAGTTTTATTGCTACTGTGAAGCTATCCCTCACTCCCCAAGCCAAGTTCTGTGCCCCCTAGAACTTTGAGTAGACTTAGCATTTGTTCTGCAACTATTATAATTTTGTTTTTCCAGATTAAAAGTTTCTTGATGGCAAGGACATGTTTTCTTCACAGAGCTTGGCCTCCATAGCAGTCATTCAATAAATGTAGAGTGAGCAAATATCAGGATGCCCACACCTGGCAAGGAAGTCATCCCAGCACATAGCAAAACATCTTTCTCTCTCACACTGCATAAGAGAGTGACTTTCTAGTCTGGGACCTCCACTGGGGTGTCCATCAGAAGCAGCCCAGATGAAGCTTAAACGGCGCTGTGCCAGCCAGAAATGGGAGCCCAGGAGGCATGCACGCCTTCAATCACACATCAGCTCCTCCAGGAAATAGCCCTGCTTCTCCCCACTTCTCTGTGTCTACCAGCCATAGCCCCAGCTTTGCAGAATGAAAAAGGAAGGTCTGAGGTTATGCTAGGTGGTTCTTAGCTTTGCATCCAACCATGTAGCATCTGGACCACGAGCAAGGACCTGAGCTTTTAGTTAGAATTCATTTCTGACCATCATCTTACAGAATCTAGCATCCAAGTAGTGGAATGAATTCCTGGCTTGGGAGGAGTCAAATAGGGAGGGCACTCAGTTCTCTGGTTTGTTTCCCCTTTAATGGTGTTTTGTTTTAATCCTTGGCAAAGGAAAGTGCCTCGCCGCCAACCGGCGAATGAAGGTTAGTAGGCTATGTTCTTGAGAACTGGGATTTCCTCTTCTTTGTTCATCAGGTCACATTGCAGGAAGGGAGAGCTGTTTAAGCGCCCAACACTGAGCGAGGCACTGAGGTGCTTGCTGCACAAGCAGAGTCACATGTACCTGCTCCAGAGACTAGAGCCAAGAAGAGCTTACACTTCCCACAAACATATCCAGAAATAAGGCTTCAGCAAGGCCTACTTCTCCATGCTCCGAAGTTGTGTAGGAACCTTTTCTAGAAAAAGAGCTCCCAGTGACCTGCATTTTGACAATATGAGTGAGGCAGGCTCCTTCTTTCCTCTAACCAAGGGGATTCTGGCTGTCAAATACTTTTATGGACAGGAACTAGGTCTGATTAAACTGAGACTTGCCAAGACTTGTACCCCACTCTCCCCGACTCAAAACACTATATTGTCACCTTGGCTTATAAGGCACCCAGTTTAAAAAATAATAATCATAAAGCACCCAGTGTTCAACATGATTTAGTAGCTCAGGATTCTGTTTGTTTAATCATAAGTGGATTTTGCATGATTAAGTTATAGGGCACCCAGTGAAAATTTGGCCCGGGAAGTTGCTCCATATTCTTTTGTGATGAATTGTGCCCACATGTGGCATAGGGTTACCCAGACTCCTTTAAGTCATGATCATTGAGTTTTCTAAGTAGCAACTTGGGGCTTTTCAATGATGTAAGTAGCAAACATGAACCCTGGTGACAAAGCGGTGACATGTCATTGGCCTAAAAGCTGGTGCTGTAGCTATTTGCCGCTCACTCTGCAGAACTATGAGCATTGTTTTAACTGCAACAAAAACACGGTGAAAATAAAATCTGATAAAATAGCTCCAGGATGTCACAGGAGGAAAAGCACCTTCTGGGCTGGCAGGTCCTGGACTCTTGATCCAGTCGCAGTTTGAGTTGAGGAGGATGTAAGGGGTTGGTACTATGTGCCTGAGGAAGACCTGTCTGTTTGTGGTTAATGATGATCCCAAGGGGGCTCCATTTGTCACAGTAGAATGAAGGGCTCCAAGCACAGAATCAAGTGATTTCTTGCCTGAGATGGCTGAATCTGTTCTTAAAATGCCATTGGATACCCAATTCTATTTCTCCAGAAATTCTCCATCTTTGGCCTTCCCGTTACTGCAAATCAAAAGGTAACCTCACCAGACTACCCTCCCCTCCTATATCTTTGAGTTTCAGGAGGTCATCCTATACCCTCATTCCCTAAGCCTAGGTTTGGTTCACCTAGGAGGCAGGGCCGATTTCAGAGTAGGACAGGCAGGCCTCTTTAATCAACCCCAGTTATCTGCTTTAAACATTGAAAAATTGGAAAGTTTCCACTTACTTTGGAGTTTTTGTGGTCTCTGTCAGTGCCTCAGAATAAAGCACTTAGCAATAGACAGTGTCTTGCGATCAACATGGTTAGGAATGGCTAGTACTTTGTAGAAAGCCTGAATAACTTTTACCAGTGCTTCCGCATTTCAGAGTACTTTGCAATCACTGTTTACTCAGCCCTCTCACTGATAGGCTGTTTGGTCCTCATTTTACAGGAAGTTGATACAATGTAGGAAAAGCTGGGGTTCAGGAGACCTGGTCCTCTTCCCATTTCACCATACTCTGTGATCTAGAATTAATGACTTAATTTTGCCATCTGTCTGAGTTAGGGGTGGGAGAAGATGATTCTAGAGACTTCTCAATTTTTTCTGGTTGTAGCAAGGTACTAATTCTCCTGTGGATTTTCAATAGTTACTATTTAATTTTCCTAATTCTAGAATCCCGAAGTTGGGGCTTAATTTGGATGTGTTTTGGAATTTCCATTATCCTATGATCTGGCCAATCTTGGGACCTTTCAAATCCTGATATATAAGTGGTTGACATTCAAGGAAAATGTCAGAGACATCCAGATGCATCCCATAGCTTGGAGAAATGCTTTTCCCACGGGAATATAGGAAGGAAGGATAGTGATCAGGCTAAGAATGAAAACAACTCCATCCATGGTGGTGATGGGGTGTCTTAGCTGCCTGGTTTTCCTCTCATTGGAGAAGCGGAAGAAACAGTATGTGGACATCTGCACTGAACTTAAAAAGATATTATCTTGAGGATGAAGACTCATCAAATGTAGTTTTAACATTTTAAGTCAGTTCTTTCCAAATCAGTAATGAAGTAGTCCGGCTAAAGCAGTTGCCAGTTTTTGGGTCATGAACCCTTTTTGGAAATCTTACAGAAACTATGGATGTTTCTCTGCCAGAAAAACTACCCACATATTCACAAATTGGGATATACTTTTAGGGAGCTCCTATATGCCCTGAAGCCCATGGACCCCAAGTTAGCAATCCCCTGATCTAAAGTGGTGAGTCAGCAGGGCTAGACCGAGAAGGTCAGGGCTAGACCCAGACTTCTAAGCCCATAATTTGCTGCCAAAATTAAACTAGTAACAAAAGTTTTTTTTTCTTTTTTCCCTCTGACCATCACCCTCTTCTTTTTCTATCCCCACACCTTTTGTCATCTCTTCTCGTGCCCTCTCAATGTCTCTCCCCACCTCTTGCGCATCTTGCACCGCAGATGTTCCAGCCTGGTTAAAAAGCCTCCGCCTTCACAAGTACGCTGCGCTGTTCTCCCAGATGACCTACGAGGAGATGATGGCCCTCACCGAGTGCCAGCTGGAGGCTCAGGTACGTGCTCCAGGGACCGTCCCCTGAGAAGGTGCCCTGGGTGGAACTCGAAGTTCAAGTCCAAGACAGATCTTATTTGGACCCATTCCTATACCTTCCCGGTAGCTGTCTTCTTTGAGGAATTGCCAGGTTCTGGCCAGGGTTGCATGGTGAGTAAGGCAAGGGTCTTGCCTTCAGGGTCCAGTAGGAAATGGAAGACAAGCAGATAACCACAGGGCAAATGAGGGCAAGATAGAGTATCCTGAAAAAGGTATAACCTAGGTACGCTCACCAAGTTCAAGGGTGCTAGGGAGGAATCGGTGGCATCTCCTAGAAGTGGAACATTTGACCAAGGTCTCAAAAGAACCTGTGTCCTGCTTATGCTTTCCTTTCCTCCTTCCCTCTGTCCAACCAGGGTGTGTTCGGGGAATGATAGAACGGTTGGTTGTCTGTTGCCCGGTCTGATTACAAATCAACTAAGTTCTAGTAGTTACTGAGCAGAAGCACCAGCTCACGCCTCAACACTTGTACAAAAGCATGTTCTGACTGGTCTTAGCTGAGATTGGAGTAAGCTGCACAATATTTTTTCCCTCTAACCACCTTCAATAACGCAGGACAGTTATTGAGATGGGATTCCCTCAGGTCTCAGATTTCATTTCCCTTCTGCGTACCACAAAGGAACAAAGCTCCTCCTTCCTTCTAAGGCGTCTTTCTCCAAGTGCGGTTGCCAAAGGCCAGGCCAGTCAACAGAACCCCTGAAACTAAGCATGTTTCCTACCACGCTGTGCTCGAGTAAATAGATCTGACTGATGTCTTTGTTTCCCTTGTTTAAAATGCTATTTGCATGTTTTAAATTGACCTCGGTTTCCTTTGAGCAGTGACTTAAAAGAATTAATGGTCTGAACAGGCTAATAGTATTTCCCCTGCAGGAAGAGGAGATTGTGCCATTTGGGGCATAGCTGGTCTGAACACATACCTCCCAGCAGATCGCTGGACTCCCGGTACACATCCAGTTCCCTCAGTTAACCTCTGCTGGCCTGGCTGGATACCAATATTGAGATGCAAGACAAAACCCAAAGTCACTGCACATTCTCTGAGAATGAAAGGCACTCGTTTCAACTTCCTAACGCCTCTCCCTCTGCTTTTTCATCTCGGTTGCTCCTTGAGATCCCAGGAATTGATGAGAACTGCTTCTAAGAGCATTTTTTGTCTTTGGGTCATAGTTGAGAAAAAAATCTAAGTCATCAAAGTTGTTTGACTTCAGGAAAAACAAAACAAGAAATAATTGATGCAGAGGGCAATGCCAGAGGCCAGCACAAACTTTTCAGAGTGATTTCATTCGCTCTAACCCAAAGTCAAGGCTAAACAGAAATATGTCCTCGGTGCTTCATCTTGAGAATGAGTTCAGTTGTCAGTTGACAACTTAATTTTCCTAAGTAAAGGAGATGTCGCTGGGGTTGCCATCTTTTCCTTTTTTAAGAGGAATGCTATGAAGAGTTGTAAGAAGTTTGTATTAGAGACCTCATTTCAGAAAGAACCTCCTATTTGGGAATTTGCAGTATGCGTAGTTAACAAGTGTTAAACTAAACCCTTCGGCTCATCATTGCTGCACAATTAAGAAGATAAGATCCACCACCCTGTGAATCCTAATCATTTACCTGAAGTGAGGACTGAATTGTAGGTTTAAGTCTCCTGACAAAAACTGCCTTGTTGTGACACCAGGTGAGACCTGTACTGGACTTCACATCTTCTCGAGATAAGAAGCATAGGAAAGATTTGAGGAAGCCATGAGTATCTCTATGGGGTTGAAACTCCAGGGAACCTGGGGGGTGGGGGGGAGCCTGGAAAAGAGAAGTGTGTGACTTAAAAATGATCTATAAAGATGCCCTGGCTGGTTTTGCTCAGTGGGTAGAGCGTCGGTTTGTGGACTGAAGGGTCCTGGGTTCGATTCTGGTCAAGGGCATGTACCTCGGTTGCAGGCTTCATCCCCAGCCTTAGTCAGGGCACATACGGGAGACAAACAATTGTTGTGTCTCTCTCATATTGATGTTTCTCTCTCTCTATCTCTCCCCTTCCCTTCCACTCTCTCTAAAATTCAATGGAAAAAATACCCTCAGGTGAGGATTAACAAAAAACAAACAAGCAGCCCTAGCTGGTTTGTCTCAGTGGATAGAGCATCAGCCTGCGGACTGAAGGATTCTGGGTTTGATTCCAGTCAAGGGCACATGCCCAGGTTGTGGGCTGGATCCCCAGTAGAGGGCGTGCAGGAGGTAGCCGATCAATGATTCTCTCGCATCATTGATGTTTCAATCTCTCTCTCCCTCTCTGAAATCAATAAAAATATATTTAAAAAACAAACAAAGAAGACTGTGAAGGAATTCCATGCGGGGTGGGGTAATTGGCTATTCCAGCTCTCTCTCCCTCTCCTGAAGGTTACAGCAAAAGACACAGACTCAGGTGGAGCCAGATGGAGTTAGACTACTAAGCAAGAAGAGGTTTCTAGCAATAGGTGCTAACGGGAGAGACAAGTAGAGATTTACTAGTCTGCAAACCTGTAGAAACAAAGCAAACAGTAAAGTACTAAATAGCCTCCCAGTCTCTAAGCTAATTCTTAAAAATGTTTTTTTTTAATATAACTTTAATTCAATTGCAGAATGTTACCAAAGGTGCAAGGCACAAAATTGTCATCAGTATTCAGAAGCTCAAAGAAAGACAAAACCTCCTGAAGTCTTTGGAAAGGGTAAGTTATTCCCGGCCGAGAGGACGTTCCCACCTTCATCACGGGGAAATGGACCCGGGACTTTCCTCAGTTGGAAAGTGTCACTGGCAGACCCGATAGAGTGTGTCATGCTGTTTCCTTATCAAAGTTAGGGAAAATGGCATGATTTTGAAGCGAAGCCTCCTGGCTATTCATGCTTCCATGTAACCTGACTACTGAAATGCACTTGTTCCCGGGGCCCAGGCAGCCTGTAACTGGCCATTCCAGGCACAGAGGAAGTGCTGTCAGATGAATTCTCTGTGTACATTCACCTCTGCCTTTTGTGCATGTGGAGAGATTAGAGAAGGGTTCAACGCACAATCAGAGGCTGAAATCCTGACAAAACAGTGTAGAGAGTGTGCAGATCTGCCTCATGCCTGCTCCCCACCACCCAGGGAAGGACCTGGGTTTGAGGAAAGCTGCCCCAGAGGGGCCAACACCAACAGGTGTGCCCCAGGTCCCACTAGAGAGGGGATCAAAGTCACTTGGCAGACGGCAGCGCTGGCTCTCCAGAGAGTAATTTCACACTTTCACTGAACAACAGAATAGGTCCTCATGACTCGGATAGGAACCATCTCAAAAATGCCAAATGCTGAAAAAGAGTTTATTCCAGTGTTAAAAGCAGTTATCAGCTGCTACTGTCCCTCTGTGTTTGCTGTCTAAACACATTCTCGTCCTATCTTTGTATCCAGACATCACTCTGGAAACGATGTCATTTTTAGGACTTGGTGACTTTATGATTTCATCTAAGGGCCAGAGGAGAGCAGGCCTGGTTCCACACACATGAGCCGTCTGCTCTGCCCCGGAGTCGCTATTCCATGCACTACTGTTGGGTGGCGGTGGGAGTTCAGTAGTTACTGCTGCCTGCAGAGCTCCAGTGGTAACCTCGTTAGCTATCTCCCAGGCGCCTTTGGAAGGGAGCAAAGTAGAGGTAGGTAGGGCTAAAGTGAGGTTTGTGAGCAATTACACATTTTAATGCAATGGGAGGTGTGTTTTCTTGACTTAGTCACAAAATGTGTGTATACTTTTACATGCCGTCTATAGTTATAGTTAATGCATAGCCCACACCATAGAAGGTAAGGTATATTTATAGAATATGCACGTATGCTTTCTAAGGAAGGTTGCTTTTAAAGCCTCTGGATGGACACACAGAGACTACTCACATGCACATCCAGGCCCGTTCACAATTAGCTCATCACGGATGACGGTGACCTGTGCAACTGACCTTGAGGTTATTGCTGCTGTTCAAACTTCTACGCTAACTGCTTTACTAAGCAGCTTGTCCACCAGAGTGATTGTTGCCATTTTTAACACAAGAAACCGTTCTCTTTTGGGAAGCATTGAAAAGGCCAGTTTGGGCCTTATCTGTTAGGAAGCACAGAGAACATTTTGCGTAGGGATTGCATTGCTAAGTGTTACGGTGAAAGAGTGATGTACCCCCCTTGTTCCTGGAGCATCCCTCAGGAGCTCATTCCTGTCCCGTCCCTGAGGAAACACACACGGAGACAGAGAGGTGGAACTGCTGTGAGCTGTGCTCCCTGTGGCCTGGGGCCGAATCAGTGTGTGGAAGCCCCAGGGCAGCCAGGTAGCCCGTGCGGCCCTGACATGCCCCTGACTTCCCATCTAACCTTTGATACGTCAGTGATGTTTTCTGCATCGCAGACTTCACACCTAGAATAATATTGACTCTGCAAAATGACTCTCCACTGGAATGGGAATGTCGAAAAGATGACAGGTGTGATATGGAGTCTGAGGGCAGCTACTGGGCAGGAGGAGAGCAATGCAGAGTTTGTCTGGGTTGACTTCGGTGACGAGGAAAGCTTGTGGGTCAGACCATCATGTTGAGCTTGCTTCAGAACATCCATGTTCAGCCACCTGCTTGTCTGTCCCCTCAGGAGCTCGTGGCCTGGGGGTGGAGTGGAACCCCAAGTCGGCATCCACCAAGGACAGCCCCTGGCTCTGTTCTCTCTTCCCTGGGACCTGGGTCTCTCCTGCTCTTCAAGGGCCGTATCGTCCATAACCTATTGCCACTTGGGCCACCAGGACACCCTGAAACCAGCCATTTCTCTGGCCTTCCAGGCATCCTCAGCTGATAATGCTGTTGGAAATGCTGTCCCATGACCTGGCCTCCCACAGCATTCTTACCTCACAGAGAACCTGGGGATTTCTAAGGAGATCGTGGGACCCCGCCCATGGCTAGTTCACAATCAGTAGTCACTGCAGATGAGCTCTGTGTCCGAGCCGTTCCACTCAGTTACTGAACACTTACTCAGCATCTGCCTTGGACTAGATTCACCCCGGCCACTGGAGGCGAATCCTGAGTAATACGCAGTTCCGGCCTTGGGGGCTCCACGCATAGCCAGTGCTCTCACACTCTAGTGTGATCGGGGGCGTCATCCCTGAGGCGGGTGGGGACGTCTTCCTGGACTGAACACGCCTCTCTGCAGGGTGAGGAGAGGAACCTGAAAGGGGCCAGTGCTGGCTGGGAGGCACATTAGGAGCCTACAGCCAGTCTCCGGGGGCCCTTGAACCACGGCAGGGATCAGGGGGTGAAGGGTCAGAGCCATTTAGCAGGAGTCCAAGCATTGGTAGGGGGGCTTGGACCTGGATGCCATGCCATTTGGGACAAAAAAACATAGGAGGGTTCCCAGTGTGGGGAAATGGAGCTCAGTTTGACGGATCGAGTCTGAGGTGCCTGTGGAATAGCAAGGCAGAAAGGCAGGTCCGTGGCCAGAAGAACAGTCTAGAGTCCTCAAGGGTTTGAAAGACTCAGTTGTGGGTCATCTGTGTATAAATGGTAGTTGATACCCTCAAAAGTGTGTTGAGTGTTAAGAGCTGAAGACAGGCCCTGAGAAGTCACAGGAGGTTTGGAGGAACCAGACACTGGCTGAGCCTGCCCCGAGGGTCAGAGAGAGAGTCTGAAGGAGGGAGTCTCATCGGGCACCATGAATGTGTCACATATGATGAGGTTATATAGAATTGCATATAATTGGTTATCAGGAGGTCACCCATAGCCAAGATGAGAAGGGTTTCAAGGAGTTGGGAAGAGACCAAAGCGAAACCCATGAACTGGGGAGTGAAGGTGGGTGATGAGGCTCTGGGGTAAGGACATGTAGACTTCTCAAGATATTTGGTGGAAAAGGGAAAAGATTAGAATGGTCATTGAGGCAGATTTTTTTTAACATTTATCTTTAATAATGAAATGTTTATTCATCATCCTTTTCAGCTGACTCCCAAACTGTGAAGCTCAATCAGACATACTCTGAGCCTGGGACCCTGGGATGGAGAAAGGAGATACACACACACACACATACACACACACACACACACACACACACCTACACCTCTTCCATGTTCTCACAACCCCCTGCCCTGGCAGTATACTCACACCGTATGGGTCCCAGCAACTGTAAGCTTCTTAGGTCAAGGATTCAGCCATATTTGTTTCTAGATCCCCTATACCTAACAGTGCCTGACTCCAGGTAGGGCTCAGCTGATGTTGGGTGAATGAAAAGGAGAGAGGATGGATTTAAGTAGATGCAGGAGTTCTGTTTATGGTATGAAAGTCCAGTTCTTCTCATAGAAAGACAAGGATGGAGCCACGGACAGTTGCGTACGTGTCAGGGACACTGGCTGCTGAAGCTCTCTGCCATATGATTTGCATCTCATTGCTGTTCAATGCCCTGGGAAAGGTTTGTGCCGTCTTCCTCAAAGACCTAAAAGAGCCAGGCCAGGAAGGCTGGGACGGTCTGAAAATAGCTTTCTTCCAGCTGGTCCACCTTCCAGCTGGTGGCCGTGCCATGGTGGACCAGCCTTCCTATTACCTGTTCCCATGTGAGCCCTCAGTTCTCATGTGAGCCCTGCGTGTGAACACGCAGCTTCATTTTTGCCTTTTTGTTTATAATACAGGATTCCAATTATGGCATGAGGATCAATAGAGACTTGGGTTGAATTCCTGTTTTTGTCAACATGGAGAATTAATCCCAACAGCTAGTTGAGGGCACTGGATTGAGTCCCATTTGGGCGGTTTCCTATTTCCTGCTCCACTTGGGCACTCCGTGTTGAGTTCGGGAATTCATTTTGAGGAGTCAGCATGTGATCTGATGGTCTTGGTGCCACACCGTGGAAGCTGATGGTTAAGCGTTATCTTTGAGTCAGCGGCTTGAAGTCTGTGGGGGAAACCAAACCAAACCCTGCGTGATTCCTGTAAATTATATTTCCCGAAAGTGTCCAACATTATTCATTATGTGTATAGTTTCCCTTTTGGTGTGGTTGTCTCCAATAGAATAAGATAAGATTTGAACTTGGGGCAAGTATATGTTTCCTATTTGAAGGAGTTCAGCTCTTAGCATAACCCATAATCTCCTTCCCCGTCATTGAGTAACTACAGAGACCTTCTTGCCACATGATGAGAGCAAACGAAGGTCTGGTGGCAGTTGATGATGTCACAGGCCTGCATTTGCTCGCCTCCGTGGTAGGTGCCATGTGGGATGGCACGACAAGATGCATGCGATGCCCTTCTGCTTTCATGGGAAGCCTCACTACTTTTCTGTCCTGCCCCTTCCTCACCTCTGTCAGGAGCTGGACAAGGAGGCCAGAACCCAGGTGCTGGTTGAGTGGTTGGCAGGAACTGGAGGACCTAGAGGCAGGAGTCCAGTTGACACATAGTTGGGTCAGAGGGGCAGCAAGTGCTCTCCTGGCATGGGTCAGCTAGCTCTCCTCCATGTGCCTTGCCCCGAACCAGATTACCAAGTCCAAAGTCAAAGAACCAGTCACGTGACAGGATCAGATTCTGGGAAAAGGCTGGTTCAGTCTGGGCAGCAGGAAAACTGGGAGTGATCAGGAGCACCCCAACTCACACATCAGGCTTGCCAGCACAGGCTGCGGCTGGTCTCGCCATGGCCATATCCACCAGGTGTTAAAGAAAAATGGACTCTTTCCCCTAAAGAAGGCCGGACAGTGGTCCTGGCCAGGACTGAGACAATTCTGGTGGCTACTTAGCATTTCCCTTCCCTCAGGAACCTCGGGTGCCAACTAGGCGAAGGCACAATTCAGGCTCTGCTCCCAACTCCCTGAACAAAGCGTGTTCCCGCCAATGACAGAGCAGGGCGATTGGTGTTTTGCTGCCCAGAATTGGAACACATCTGTCCAGGGCTGCCGTCCTCAGGTCTCCTCTTACTAACTGATTGATTAGAAAGTCAGGGTGCAGAAATGATCACATTCCATATCCTTGTGTTCCGTGACATCATCAAGCAATTTTTCTTGGCAAGAGAGGATCCCAGGAATGGATTGGTACTCGTGCTTTTAAAATTGTCCTTGCTATTCTGGGCTCTCGGAAGATTAAATCTTCATTAGTAATCAGGGCACTGCTTGTCAGTGTCCTTCCGGGATCCCAGGGCATAAGCACTGGGCAGCGCTGGGGCAGAGGCTGGGCCCACCCACTATGCCAGGGAAGAGCCCTGCCCGGACCTCCAGCCACGAGTGTCTGAGCCTGTTCGGCACCTCTGGGAGCACTTGGCACCTGGGTAAATGTCTGTCAGAATCAACTTCCATTCCTTTTCCTAATAAATAATCTCCAGTATATCAAACTGCATGTGCAGAAAGATCTAATTTATCAAGTCGTATATATATATATTATATGCAATTTTATACATTATACTACACATATATCTTACATGTCTTTCTCTCTCAAATGATCTTTATAAAACATGTTGTGCCCCTGCGACAAACCTTCCCTCATTTCCCATTCATTTAGAAGACATTCTTGCATCCCTGCCCCAGCCTGCAGGCCTCCACACTCAGCCCCCTGTGGCTCCTCGGAACTCATTTCCCACCCTCCTCCCCTCACCCACTCTGCTTCACGTGACACAAAAATAGACCTGCAGCTTTACACATATTAATATCATTACAACCACCTGATGAGGCAGGTACTATTGTTATCTTCATTTTATACACAGGGAAACAGGCTCAGAGAGGTTAAGTCATTTACCCAAGGTCACACAGCAGTGTCAGAATTTGAAACCCCACATCCATCCTAGAATCTGTGCTCTAAACCACTACCCTGTGTTTCCTGTATCATGGGCTGAATGAAGGTTCCTTCACTTAAAACCACTGATACACAAGACAGGAAGCCACCATATGACCCTGCCTCAAGCTTTGTTATACAGCTTCTGAAGTATGTGAGTGTAAGCTATAGAAGTGCATTTTCTAGAAAGGCCCTGAAGAAGCCAGGGAAGGAAATGGACCAAAATCATTTTAGGGATCATCTCTAGATAGCGAGGTTTTCAGGTGACGTACATTTTCCTCACTGTACATATCTGTTTATTCCAAGTTTCCTACCTGGGCTAATATTAGATAAAATGGAAATGGTTGCTTTTCCAATGAATGTATGATGAAGGGCCAATAGCAGTGCGTCCTGTCTGGGAAGAGCTCTGGGCAGGGCAGGGGAAGCATCGGAAGTGGGGCACCCCGTCCCTGACCCTAATGATGGTCTTCTCCCTCTGACCGTCTAGGACATCATCGAGGGGGGCAGCCTTCGCATCCCACTCCAGGAGCTGCACCAGATGATCCTGACTCCTATCAAGGCCTACAGCTCCCCGAGCGCCACCCCCGAGGCTCGCCGCCGGGAGCCCCAGGCCCCACACCCGGCTTCGCTCATGGGCCCCGAGAGCCAGAGCCCCGACTGCAAAGACAGTGCTGCGGCCCCGGGTGCCACAGCCACCACCTCAGCGGGCGCCAGCGGCGGGCTCCAGCCACACCATCTGAGCAGCTGTGACGGGGAGCTGGCTGTCGCCCCCCTGCCGGAGGGGGACCTCCCCGGGCAGTTCACGCGTGTCATGGGGAAAGGTAGGCCTGAATTCCCCCAATCTCCCTTCTCTTCTCTCAACACCACTAACCAGAACTACCAGTCCCCGAGGGGCTTCCCCTGGGGACTGGATCAACTGCCTGCCAAGGTCGATGTCATGAGCCCATTGTACAGATGAGGAAAGTGTGAGAGGTTGAGGAATTTGGATCTGAACTCAGATCTCTCAGATCTCTCTGACCTCCAAAGGTCCCTTCCTTAACCTTGTATCCTTCCTCTCCCACCCCAGACCAGGGCTGCTGGCCCTCCTGGCAGTCACTGGGCCTTGGACCCTCAGGCTGAAGCAGCGATTTCAACCTTTTCTTCGCAGGGCACACATTAATTACCAAAATTCTGCAGCACACCGAAAATATATGTTCTGCCTATATGACAAAAAATGGGTATAATTTCTGTCTGTTCATACTGGGCAGCTATTGTGTTGGCTGTTGTCATGAGTCAGCTGATCGATGTCTTAGGAGAAAGGAGGTCAGTGCCCCTGACAAAGTAGTCAGGTATTGCATGTTTTACAGATTCTCGCAGCACACCAGTGTGCCTCGGCGCACGTGTTGAAAATCATTGGGCTAAAGTCAGCCCTGACAACAGATCATGCCGTGTGTGTGTGTGTGTGTGTGTGTGTGTGTGTGTGTGTGTGTCTGGAGGGCAGGACAGAATTCACACGTGGTCCTTTGGGTAAGAGCACCCTTTCTACCTGGACTGCCTGTGGCTAAGCTCCTTGTACACATATCCTGGTCCAATGCCAGAATAATTTGTGCTTGATAAGTATGTCACAAGAAAACTTGATTATTTGAAAAATGTAGTGAATATCGGTACTTTACTTTCAGGAAGGGGAGATAATTTTTTTCTTCTTTATTGTCCAATATTTTAGACCATTTTAAAGAACAAAAGTTTTTACCAACAGATATGGACACTTGAGTCTTTTTAAAAATCATATATATCTTTTTGTTGATTTCTAAGAGGAAGGGAGAAGGAGAGATAGAAACATCAATGATGAGAGAGAATCATCGATTGGCTGCCTCTTACACGCCCCCTACGAGGGGTCAAGTCTACAACCAGGGCCTGTGCCCTGACTGGGAATTGAGCTGTAACATCCTGGTTCATCAGTCGATGCTCAACCACTGAGCTACACTCACCGGGCTAGACACCTGAGTCTTATAGTTGCTCTGAGAAACTTCCCGTGGTACATGTCCTACAAAAGACTTAAATCCTTAAAAATCTGATTCAGAGGAGATGACCTGTGGCATCCCTTGGGGCTGAAATGCCAGTAGCTTGATCTCCTCCCCTCGCCTCCTTGCTCTCCCCCACCCCCTAGTGGGCACTTAGAGCAGATGACCAGAGCCCATGGATGAAGGGCCATGTGGTGTGGGGGTGGTTACCTGAGTGTGAGGTGCCTCACCCCACCTTCCCTGTGGCGAGAAGTATAGGGGGCTCTGCCCTCAGGAGGCCTGCACTTCTCTGGCCCAGCTTGTTTATAAAGTTTAAATGCTTTTAAATAAATTATAAAATAATTGCAAGGTCAACATAAAAATCAGAACTACACAAAATGGGAGACAGTGAAAACTAGCCCTCCCACCCCAAGCCTCAGAGGCAACCACTATGAACAGGTTTGGAATATGCCCTGGGTAACTTTATACAAGCACATGAGTGTCCTTTTTACACACAAACAGGTTTTGTTTACATGTTTCTCTGCAGTTTTTTTTACATTATATAGTTTTAACAGTTCTATCAATACAGTAGCACCGACTCTTTTTTAATATTTCTATCCATGCAGTAGCACCAACTCATTCTTGCATACTATCCCACAGTATGTGTAAACCATAATTGATCTAATGGCCCCAGTGAATGGACCTCAAAGTGGTTTCCAAGTTTCTGTTGTTACAAACAACGCTATAATCTTACGCAAGATTAAGGAGAGAAGAAAAAAATCAGAATGCCCAGGTTTCAAGTGTGATTTACTGAGTGCCAGGCATTTTCACTTCTAATTGATGTCTTTTGTCATCCGTTAGAAGTGAGCAGAATGGGCTCCACTGATGTGGCCATGAAACCCAGCAGCGTGTGTCCTCTGCCCACAGACTCACTCTGCTGTCAGCCTCAGCACTTACCTGAGTGTGTAGGTGAACCTGTGTGTGTATAAGTGCGTGGATCACTTTGAGAAATAACCCTCCAGTGATTGAGCATCAGGCCTCCTGCTCGTGTGTGCACCCACGCACCTCACGTCCTAAAGGATGTGCCAGCTGGATTCCTCCAAATGAGGTGCGCGGTTCATTCATAAAAATCACGGAGACTGCTCTCTAATAACACCGATGGCCTTTGCTGCCTTTGAACTCCCTCTCAAAAGGAGCCTCTTGCAAAGACAGAGCTCGGGACACTGCTGCGTTCTTCCTCCCCCAGCGTGTCTATGTCAGGCTGGGTTGCAGAAGGCTTAATATAGAATGGTATGCCTGGAATTCATCGACGGGGCTCCTCGAGGCAAGGGCTCCCGTGGTGCCCGAGCCTTTGACTTCAGTGGGATGAGGAGCCTCCTGGCCTTTTTTGTGAGCCTTACGTACAGCCACAGGCACACAGACCTCTCAAAATACTGGTCCTGAAAGGAAATGAGAAACAGATCTCAAGGTTAGGAGATGGGTGTGCATTTTTCGAATTCATCTTTTTTTTTTTTTAATTCACAGTGTGCACACAGCTCTTGGTCTCCAGACCCGATGAGGAGAATATAAGTTCCTATTTACAGCTCATAGACAAGTGTCTAATTCATGAGGTGAGTCATGATAGATTTCACAATGCCTTTTTCCTCATTGCATAGAAATGGTTCCTGTGGTGGGATCATTTGAATCAGCAACAACTTGTTTCTGTGGGGTAGATGTCCGAATAGCTCGGGCAGAACTCGGCGTGGTGGCCTCAAGCCTAAACAAAGCTTGTGTATAACTTAGTTGTCCAAAGATTTGTCCGGGCTGAGCTCTGATGTGAGGGTGCAAGCCTGAGAGGAACTTCTGACTCCGGAAGAATCTCTGAGTGACCAAGCCTGGGAGGTGTGCACACAGTCCTGCCACCCAGCCCCTGATGTTCTCAAGTCTTTCAATGCTTTGCCTTGAAACATGTTGCCTTTGGGCTCAAGGAACTTTGAGGGAGGGGTGAAGAAACAGTGTGCAGCAGAAACAATGTGTGTGGGGGGTGTGGGGTGGGTTGTTTTTAGCCATGTGTCCTTTGAAGAAGGACCGAGGCAGGCTGGAGCTGTGCCTACCAGGCTCTCAAAGCTAGCACAGTCTCCACCACGGGGCTGGCGGGTACTGGCCATGGCTGCCCTGAGCGACATGTGGGGACAGGCCGTTGTGCCTCAAATCCAAGACTCCGGTGGCTACTTTGGTGACTCTCCTCCAGAGAGTTCCAGTGACAAAGTCTGGGCCTCAGGAAACTTAGGACTGGATAACCCTAGAGCCGTGGCCGACAAACCGCAGCTCGCGAGCCACATGCGGCTCTTTGGCCCCTTGAGTGTGGCTCTTCCACAAAATACCACATGCGGTGCGCTCACCTTTGGCGATTGAAACTTCAGAACCCTGGCAGTCCAGGCGCCCTTTTGTTGAAGAGACACACTCAGCGGACCAAAGACCCGTCACCCACTCTCCCTGTGTGGTCAGTTCACTGGGGCCCCCACCTCCGTGCTCTGTCTCCGCCCATCCTTGTGTGCAGGAGTCCAATCTCCTGCTGCAATTCCACTCCAGCCATGCTTCCCCGACCACCAAAAATCTCATTTTTGCGAGTCCCCCTCACAGTGGCATCCATTCTTTTATGTGCCTCTCCCCAACTCCCCCCTCCCCGCCCCCACTCAATCTTTTCTATTTCCAGTCCTGGCCCTGCACTTGTTTTGACCAGCAAAAAGCCACAGACGGAAGACAAGAGCACAGTGACGAATTTCTGAACTCATTCATTCCATAGATATTTATCACTCCCCCTGGCCCTGGCCCTGGCTAGGCAGCTTATGGTGAGGGTAGTGGGTGAAACGCAGGGAAAACAGGTTGTCACGTACGTGACGATAAAGCCTCTGAGAGGCCCTCCCGGCGTGCCCCAGAGCCCAGATGCGGAGTGGCAGGCACCTGCCCGAGCCGGAAGCAGGTGTTCCTCAGAGGGGCTGCCCCCACGCTCGGCTCGCCCAAAAGGCAGGCAGAGTCTCATGGCTCGGTGAGGAAGGAGGCAGGAGAGTGATCCAGGCAGACGGGCAGTGTTTTGGGGGGTTCTGTGTCTTGTTAGGGAAGACCATTGGGGAGGATTTCGAGAAGGGAGCCTTTAAACTTCTGAGAAAGCAAAGCAGATCCCTGCTTCCTCTCCCACGTTCGCTCTGAGCAGTGGAGGACAGGTTGCCTCCACCAGCCGGCTGAGCCCAGGAGGCAGAATGACCGCCCTCCGCTGCCTCTGCTTCCTAGTTGGACCACACCAGCCCCACAGCTGTGGCCTGAGGCTTATCCCTGGCCTGCCTCGGTGTGCCCTCCCTGGGCATCGTGGCTCTTCTTTTTGCTTCTTCCCACTTTTCTCCCCGATGCCCAGTGATCCATGCAAAGATGACACTGAGTGCTCCTCTGCCGGCAGGAGGCCCAGGCAAGGGGCCTCTCGGTACCGGGAGTCACGGCAGATAGGAGCTCAGGCAGAGTCCGCTTGCCTGAATTCAGGTCGGGATGGAGGGCCTGCGCTCTGCTTTGGAAGGGAAAATGTTGTTCAAGCCTTTTTATTATTTTAGTTGAGAAGGAGGAAACATGTCTGAATAATTTTCCACAGGCCTGGGTTGTGTGTGAGAGAACGCACCCTCCCTGCGGCTGGAGGGGAGGTCAGTGTGGGCTCCGGACAGGGCTGCCTTCCTCAGCCCCCAGCGCTGCTGCTGCTGCTGCTGCTGCTGCTCCGCCCACTGCAAGGGGAGGTGTGGTTACTTCCAAGGCACATTCCTTCCCGAGGATGAAGGACCGACTCCCTAGAGAAAGAAAAGGGAGGATAGGCAAGTTCTGGATTCTGTATCTGGGACCAATCACTTCCTCATGGATTGTAATCCCAGGCATATTGCCTGCTTGCGGTCTTGACAAGGTTCTGGGAATCTGAGTGCTTGTCCCCTTAATGAGGCTTTTTATCCAGCCACCAAAGCTGCAGGACACATCTTCTTCCAGACAGACGGATTGGTCTGGGCCTGACAGGGACAGAAGACGGAGCAGTGGCTGGCTGGCTGTGTCTGGGCAGCCTGCAGTGTGGAATCTTCCTTCCCCCCCAGCCCAGGGTGGAGGAGGCTGGGGTGTGGTACCAGCCGTCCCAGCCGATGGCGGAGCACCGGAACCAGCCTTCAAAAACCGCTGGGAGCCTGCCATGGCCCAGCGCTCCTGCCCCCAGCTGCCCCTCCCAGGACTGAGAACCGGCCTCCACACTCACTCGCACTGCTGGGGGCTCGCTCCCACTAAAGGAGCCTGAGGCCCAGGTGCGGAGGTACCTACATGTCCATCTTTTCAGATGCTCTTTGCCCCCGTGGCCGAGGTCATGTGTGAACTGCTGTCCCTGGAAACACTTTAAATGCACATCTATCGAGTGAACCATTAACTCCTTTGTCACTTGAAATTCAGGCTTGTCCTCCAGTCTGGCTCCAGACCAGCTCAGGACTCTAGTTTTGAGACCTTGAAGTCATTTGTTCGGGGTAAAGGTGGCTGTTGAACACCAACTGTGACAAATACGCACATGCCACCACCCAAGGGCTGGTCCACGCAACTGAAAATAGCCGGTTAGAGTATCTGTGAGTGGCGTGGGTGGAATCATTACTAAGAGCCAGGCATGTTCTTAAGTATTCTGAGTGCTTTTCGTGTGTTATCTCATTTCGTCCTTACAGCGTCCATTAGAGGGAGACATTATCACCCTCAGCTTTTAGAAGGAGCAGAGTCTCAGGTGGAGGGATTCGCATAAGGGAGTGTGGGGATTCGCACCCTCCCGTGTGCATCCAGGGCTTTCCTCTGACCCACCGGCGGGGCCCTTCTCCTCAGCTCATCTCGACCAGGGTGCCTGCATCTTGTGTCCTCACTTAACATCTGGCTGAATGAGCCCGTCAAAAGCAGAATCTGTCCATCCCTTTGTGAGTCCAGCAGAGGTGTTTGCCTGTCACAGTTTTCAGAGGTCCTCGTGTGTAGTTGGACACTCACTGAGCATCACCAAAAATGAGAGGGACCACGGAGGAGAACCAGGTCCTCGCCTTTCAGCCATGAGACCGTCCTGCCACTCACTTGAGTGGGGGGTCAGCACCTCTTTCTCTGATGGGGCACTGGGTCCCGTGGTTGGTAGCCCTCTTTGATGCGTACCCTTAATGGTGTCTGGCTAAAGTCACCCAGGGGGAAGCAGTTTGTAAGTCAATAACTTTTCTGCAGTATGACTGATATCTTTTTGCTTTTGTTCACATAGCTCTCTTGTGTTTAGGTCCTTAAAGATTAAATGTCATCCGAAGAAAATTAAGCTGTCTTTCTATTTTTCCCCCTCTGTTTCAGAAATCTGTTTCCTTCATGGAAAATAATCATGTAGTCTGTTATTCTAAGTAATAGCTTATTGCTTCTTAAATTTCATGCCTTATTGACAAAACTACCTAGGCGTGTTATCTCCATCATTGTTAATGCTGATCTGTCAAACCCGATGGATTTCCACAGCGTGTGGACCACAGTTCTAGATACTTGACAGGATTCCTGAATTGTGTGTGTGGTTCTCATCATCTCGAGCACTCCACGTCCAAGTGCTGCCTGCAGTGGTCGGCAAACTGCGGCTCTCGAGCCACATGCAGCTCTTTGGCCCCGTGAGTGTGGCTCTTCCCCAAATACCGACTTCTGCGCATGGGCCATGAATTTTCAATCGCACTGTATGTGCGCGCCCGCACATGTTATTTTGTGGAAGAGCCACACTCAAGGGGCCAAAGAGCTGCATGTGGCTTGCGAGCCACAGTTTGCCGACCACTGTACCAGGGCACTTGCTGCAAACACAACACCCCCCTCCCACTCCCCTCCAGATCTGTCAGGCTCTAGGTGTTGGGGAGAGGCCTAGGAATCCACATTTTAACTGGTCTCTTTGGGAAATCTAATAGACCATGACAAATAACCCCTGAAAGTCCTTCCCTGGGCCATGGTGCACACAAAAGAACACATGATGTAGATGACAGCATATTACAGGGCAGTAGGCACAACATCCCCAACACCAATTTTACTAGAAAAGACTCAAGAAGCAATCAGATCTACCCATCTTCCTAAACTTCAGACAATTTAGGTTAGGACGGGGTGCAGTGGGGTTTTGGTAGGGCACCAGATCCCTTAACTAGAAGTTTCTCAGCCCAGCCCTGAAATGCAGAGACTAAACTCCATGTTCTGAAGCCCAGCTGACCACTCAGGGTGTCCACACACTATCAAGCATATTGATTTTTGGAGTGGTTTAGCATTTCCATTGATTATGAAAATGCCGGGGGCCTCCAGAAGCCAGAGTATTCAACAATCAATTTTGCAATTTATTCTTGGTTAATAAATAGAGTCCAGAGTGGAGTCAGAGGCAAGAGAAGGTGGGTATGGACCTACCAGAAATGCAACCAAAACCAAGGGTTATCAAGAGTTTGCCCGGCTGACTTGGCTCAATGGTTCAGCATTAACCTATGAACCAGGAGGTCACAGTTTGATTCCTGGTCAGGGCACATTGCTCAGGTTTCGGGCTCCATCCCCAGTGTGGGGCGTGCAGGAGGCAGCCGATCAATGATTCTCTCTCATCATTGATGTTTCTGTCTCCCTTCCTCTCTGAAATCAATAAAAAATATATGTATTTTTTTAAAAGCCGCCGAAACTGGTTTGGCTCAGTGGATAGAGCGTCAGCCTGCGGTAACCTATGAACCAGGAGGTCACAGTTTGATTCCTGGTCAGGGCACATTGCTCAGGTTTCGGGCTCCATCCCCAGTGTGGGGCGTGCAGGAGGCAGCCGATCAATGATTCTCTCTCATCATTGACGTTTCTGTCTCTCTCCCTCTCCCTTCCTCTCTGAAATCAATAAAAATATATGTATTTTTTAAAAAGCTTAATGCATGTACCGTACTAGGCACCTCCAATGCCAAATAACTTGAATTTTCAGTTATGAAACTGACTGCTGTTTGAACCAGCTTGGAAACAGGTGAAAAAAAGGCAACCACAGAGACGCCAATGTTTTCCCCTATTAATTGCATGTTTCTCCTTCTAATGCTAGGCTGCGTCACCCATTAAAAAATCCTGTTTGTTTTTGCAGGCATTTACAGAGACGCAGAAAAAAAGATTGTTGTCATGGAAACAGCAGGTGCAGAAGCTCTTTCGGTCTTTCCCTCGGAAAACCCTTCTAGACATATCAGGATATCGACAGCAAAGAAAGTACGTTGGGATTTCATTGTTTGTAATGCATGGTGGCTCCCAGGTGCCTCGTTGCCTGCCTGGGTTCCCAGGGCAGGACAAGGCAGGGCATTCCTTGGTCATCAAGGTGCCCTGTGGCAAGTTCCAAATCGCCGTCCTTAAACAGGTGGGGTTGGGAAAGGCTGTGTAGAGAGAGCATTCCCAGAGGAAGAGCTGAATGCGATCTTTTGTAACTCAATTGACATTGTCAAAGTGACAGCGTTCGTCCGGATGCAGAGAGTGGATATAATTTAATGAACGCCAGCAGAACACTTGGTAGTTTATCCCCAAAAGGGGGCCCTGAAAGGACAGAAACGGATTGTTCTCTCAGCACCTTAAGTGGTCGTGTAATTTTTTTCTCTCTTCTAGCTGCAGACAAGCTAATTATAGTTGGTGGCAGGGTGAAGAGCCCAGTGCTAGTCTATTTTGGTCTGAGTTGCAATCTAAGAGTGGAGCAGCACCGTTCTCGGTTTCTCATAGTGCTTCAGGTTCTTGGATGCAGTTAAAAATAAGCCTTATTGTACTTGAGACCCCCTTCCCTTGATCTGGCTTTAAATTGAAGAATCCAGTAGCATATGAAAGGTGAATTACCTTGCCAGTTAATTAAGGGGAGGCGTGGATTAAGCCTTGTACAATGACAGGGAGTTTTGGGGAGACAAGAGAATGACGATGTGAACATCCTCAAAATCCACATTCCATTTATTTTTGCATTTTTAAACATGAGCACACAATGTTTTCAGTTGCACCTGAAAAGTTCTGAATTCATTTCTCAGTGCATTTATTTGCATAAGTGTGCCTTCCAACATCACTGTTGGATATTATTTAAGGGGGGGGGTGAGGCCCATTGAAATTTGTGAAGTCTTTATTAAAGATTAATGTAAAAAATGAATTATCCAGCCTATACAACACGGTTACTTATTAAACATTTAACCCTTACTATGTGCCAATTATCCAAGCACGATAAGAATATTAGTACTTTTAATCCTGCAACAACCATGTAAGGTAGAGGAGCTGCTGTCAGCCTCGTTTTACGGAGGAGTCGGTAGGCAATGGCATCCAGGATTTGGTTCAGGCAGGCCAGCGCCAGGGTCAGTGCTTAACCACTGTGGGTGCCAGGCAGCTCTCATGGTCTTTGTGCAGAAACGATGGACAGGTCAAGCAACACTCTTTATTTCCCACTCCCTGGCCCCAGGCCCTCTGGGGTGCCTCCCTGGTGGGTTGTGCTGGATCAGCTCTGCACCCTGATGAAAGTCCAGGCCCCTCCCCTGGGACACCCCCCCTCTCCTCCTGTATGGACAGCAACACTTCTCCCAAGGATGAGGAGGAGGTGCCAGCCCCTCTTGCTACACCAGCCCCTTGGGAGCCAAGTTCCAAGCAGAAGAAGGAAGTTAGAAGTTGACCATGAAGATAGAGCTTTTAAGGGCTTTGCTTCTCACCCCAAAGTTTCATCCCCTGCCTCTGTCTGCCCTGCCTTGTCCTTGGTTAACCTTGACCTCTCTAGAGGGTGACCACCTGAAGCTTGTTTTGGGCTAACCTAAGGTTTGCCAGATTGGAGTCCCAGTGGACCTCTTTTTATGGATTAGATAAGAATGAATTTAATCATCAATTGTAGATGTTCAATTGGAGGCTGCTAAAGCTCTAGAAAATAATTTGTTCTCCTATGTATTACCTCTGGGATCTTCTTATGCTATTAATTTGCTTTGAAGACCCGTTTCTCCAGTAATACAAAGGTATCTGCTGCCCACCCCCTGCTTGAATTATCCCAAATCCCAAATTAATTGGTTCTTATTTAGTCTTTTCACGCATTTCAAGATAATGAAATCGGTTGGTTAGATTTAGGAAGGCAAAGAGAGACGCGAATGGGCAGAGGAAGAGAATGAAAAATGAAAATTTACTTTTGTCACTTTATTCTCTCCCCAGAAGAAATAAGAAATGATTATCTCATTAAGCCTAGTGATCTTAAGTAACCTAAGCGTTCACTCTGGTTGCCTCAACAACCCTGGCTTTGTAATAACCTATTAAGGACGCCACAGTAGAGCCCCACCATCATTAGAAAGACGGCCTAGCCAAGTTCTCCCCACCCACCCATTCTATCCCCAAAATGTTCAGGGCTTTCCCACCACATTCAGCCAGCGAGTCCTCACTTCTGGAGTGCCTAGAGCCCTTGTTCCTCCAGTGGCCCATAACAGAGCCCTCTGCCCACATTCTATTGCTCAAGATATACTCTGCCTTCCTGGAAGCGCACATCCTTTTAGCATGTTCACTGACTACTGTATTTTGCATATGAAGTAACTTTTAAAAAATCCAACTGAAAAGGAAAACGAGAGGGGAAAAAAGCCATTCGCACTAAATAAGGAAAAGTCTTAGCAGAATACTGAATCATCTACCAGGTGGCCAAAATTCTGACTCAAAAACCAAAGGCCTAGTTTTCATAGTTAAACACACACACACACACACACACACAAAACCGCCGCTTGCTCTCCACCTGTCAGTCACTCAGATGGTCCTTCCTCCAGGGGAAGTCTCTGGGATCCCATGAAAGGACTCCTACCCCACCTGGCTTGAATTTCCTCTTTCAAACCAAACGTTTGAAACCTTAGTCAAAGAAGAAAGAGGGGCAGAAGAGGGAGGAAGGATGAGATAACAAAGAGACCTAGAACCCAGGAGTGCCCCTTCTCACCGCGCGCAGAGGAGCCACAAAAGCCTGGAAGTGGAAAGACATAGCCCAGAACTCAGTTCAGCCGGCTCACCGTGGAATTCTCTTCCCTGCCCTCCCTCCCTCCCTGGGAAAAGAGGAGCACTGGGGAAAGAGAAACATTTCCTGAGATCTGCCGTGCTGATGGCTTAGGGGCCCCTCCCCCTAGGCACACACAACTCTCCCTCAGGAAATGACTGTTTAGCAGGGCCCCCCACCCCCACCCCATCATCCTCAACTGGTGAAATACGTCAGCCCTGTCTCCGGGAGTCTCCTCACAGGCTTGGCACAAACCTCCCCTGCACGGTGGGGAAAGCGAGTCTGTTCCATCTTGTGGCCATTGGAGGTAAAGCATTTCGACCTAAACATCAGTGAATGACTAAAGCTGACTCTTCTTGGAAAGAATGTGCTGGTTCCTGAAACCCCGCTGGCGGCCGCGCGCCCTCCCAGAACCTGAGGCCTGTGAGAGAGGACAAGTGCTTTGGAGATGAGGTCACAGCAGCGAAGGCAGCACAGCCTCCGAGTGCGCCGCCTGGGTCTCCGGCCGCCGTCCTGCGTGGACCCAGGGGGGACACGCAGCCTCTGGTCTCTCTGCAGGGAGGGCCTGCGCAGTGGGGAGCAGTGGGTGTCCGGGGGCCAAACACCACCATCTCCATTCTCCTATCCCTCCTCCATACCCTGGAGTCAGCGCCCCGGCCGTGGGTCAGTCCTGCCATGTGGAGAGGCGCCCTGATGGCAGAGGCGTGTCCATTCTTTCATTCATTCAACATGCCTTTACCGTGTCAGGAGCTGATTCGGTCACGGAACACGTAGGCTTGACAAGGACAGACGTCGACCTGTTTTTCAGGGAGCTGACATCCTAGGGGGCTCCCAGGCCACTGTCCCCCAGTCTCCCACAGAGCCAGACGGATATCGGGGAAGACTGTGGTTTGATGGAAGAAACACTGAGCCTGGCTGTGCAGCCTTCTCGCTGTGTGGCCTCTTGACAGGCGTGTGAGTGCTCTGGGCCCTGTGACCAGCTTGGAAGAAGGCCCAGGAGCGGCCTGGTTAAACCTCAGGGCTGCCAGCACTGCTCCCTGCTGGCTGAGTGACCTTCGCGAAACTATTAAGCTCTATTTACTTCTCCAGCTGTAAATAAAAGTGGGTAGAGCGCCTACTTCGGTGGGTTGTCGTGAGGATGGAAGAATCAATGTAATAGTGTCCTGATGGTGCACGTAACCTTTGCTCTCAGCTGTCAGCTGTCGTTTTAATCATAGCTCTTTCCTGGCTCAGACCCCCCAGGACCCCATAGGCCTATGACTGTCAAAATGCGAGCAGACCAACACCCACCCCGCCCCAGGAGGCGTCCCACAGGCAGCCTGGGGGGTGAGATGGCTGCAGGGGACTCATGCTCCCTGGTTCTTCTCTGTTCGCTCCCACAGTCGCGGCTTTGGGCAGTCCAACTCCCTCCCGACGGCCGGCTCTGTGGGCGGCGGCATGGGCAGACGGAACCCACGCCAGTACCAGATCCCTTCTCGGAACGTCCCTTCTGCCCGCCTGGGCCTCTTGGGCACCAGCGGGTTCGTCAGCTCCACCCAGCGCAACACCACAGCCAACCCCACCATCATGAAACAAGGAAGACAGGTTTGTTCTGCACCGGAGAGGAGGGTGGGCAGCCAAGCTCAGCGCCCGAGGCTGCAGGATGTTTCCCCAGATGACCCCAAGGTGAGGGGAGAGGCCGAGGGGGGCTAAGCTGAGAGACAGTGTCCCTGTCCTCTGCGTTACCGACGTCGTTTGCGTTGTTCCTCCGGGAGATAGACCAGAGCTGAGGCTGCGCCTGGCCTCAGGGAGGGTGGCTGAGGAGGCCCCTGGGACCACTTCAACCTTGGGGGCCCCGAGCAAGGGTGCCTTTAGAAAGAAATGCAATACCTGTTTATTGTTTGCCCCGACCCTTGACTTGCCCCAGCAGACCTCACCACTTCCCAAACTGGGTTCCAGAGGAACCTCCGCCTCTAAGGAACTTGCTTAGCTTTTTTGTTCGTGGCACGTAGCTCCTTCGTTGTGGTCCAGCTGTGGGGGAGAAGCCACAGGAAGGAGCTGGAGAGGCCTCCAGAGGGAGGGGTGAAACCCTCTCGGCCAGACAAAGCTGTGTGACCTACATGTGTGACCTAGAGCTGACCCCTGTCCCGCGGCCCCACGGCCCTCTGCCCCCGTCCCACACCCTGCCCAGTGCCTCCCATCCATGTACCTCCGGCTTTGTGGGGCCGTGTAGGTTGGGGCTGGGACTGCAGGGACACAAGTGGGCCCGAGGTTCTGGGTTGTCCTGAGAAATGCAGGGGTGACAGATTGGTCTAAAAACAGGAAAATGGCTCCAGGCACGACAGGCGGGATTGGCTCCCCGGGGAGCAGCACGGGGGTATGAAAAAGCCCCGCGTTCTGGTCATTGTGGGCAGCCCCAGGTCAGTCCAAGAGGAAGTCACCACATAGTAACACACACAAGCCCAGTGGTGCCAGCTCATTGCCGATCAGGGCTTCTTCCCCTGCCCCCCCACCCCCCACTTTGTAGTAACTTGTAAGAATCTCAAAGAAATCAAATGAGATTAGTTGGCACCTGAAATGGTGCTCTTCATGGCAAATATCTACAAACGCCCTCTCCCCCCATTTCCAAGAAAAATGACAGGAAAAGCAAAAGCAACAAAAGGGATAATAGGGAGGGGGAGAGGGAGAGAGGTGTCCAGATTGAACTGAGGTTTAGAGAGGGGCCTGGGGCTCAGGAGGTGGGAGCAATGGGCATGTAGCTAAAAGGAACGGAACCTAAAAGCCCTCACTATGAATAAGCAGATGGGCAGCGCTGGCCTGCAAGCCCCATGCCAGACGTTAGAGTATTCGTCTCCTGAGCTCTGGGGGGGGGGGGACCCTGCTGCCCACCCCCAGCCCCCCACCCCAGGGCATCTGGACTCACGGTCCCCCTTTTGTGTTTCTCACCAGAACCTCTGGTTTGCCAACCCCGGGGGCAGCAACAGCATGCCAAGCCGCACCCACAGCTCCGTGCAGAGGACCCGCTCGCTGCCCGTGCACACTTCCCCCCAGAACATGCTGATGTTCCAGCAGCCAGGTAGGGCCCGGAGCCTGCTCTCTCGCTCTGCTCCCCCCTGACACACCGGCGAGGCCAGGACGCCAAAATAGATGCCCCGGTGAACCCAGCTGGAAAGTGCTTAGCCTCGACTGTCACCACGCATTCTTGCGAGCTTATAGAAGCCTTTCTTTTTTTAAACTGTGCCTTGCCAGCATGAATAGCGGCTGGTTGGCTGGAAGCCAGCGCGAGGAGCCCCACAGTCGTTGCAATCTGACGGGGATATTTTTGATACTAGTCATATTTCTAGGTTGATTAAAGCAGAGATACCACTGGAGGGCTTGGTGGGGCGGGGGGATGGGAGGGGTTCCATGTGCCATGGGGGCGGGCGGTGTAGAGAGTAAGACAGATAAAGAGAAGGCTTGGCAGCGCTGATGCTAAGGGACCCCTCCCCCTCCCCGGTTTGGGAGTGCCTTGCAAACATGACTGCTGGACCGGCCATCTTTCCTGCACTTGGTCAAAGAGCATCTTGGTGCAACTCAGGTCCATTTCACCTTTCACCTTGCCCCTGAAACAGGCAGCCAGAATTATGTACAATCAGCAAATACTCGTACCCTTTCTCTATGCAGACAGGGACCTTAGACTCCACAGAGAATGCAAAGCCACACAAACAGTCACTGCACCTACCTAGATGCCCCCCGCAGGTGGGCAAACCCAACGTGCACCTGCAGGAAATGCCCAGCCAGGGCAGTAGATGCGCTCGCTCTGGGCATAAGTCCTCCAGGAGGTTAGGAGGGGCAAGGTCGCTGTGGCCTTGGGTGGGCCAGGAAGCATCTTGGAGTTGGGGCTGAGCTTCAGGGGCCAGAGGGTGAGGAGGTGGAAAGAGGAGGGCGGCACCGCAGGCCGAAGGGGAGCAAGCTTCAGTGGTGCCGAGGGCCACGGTGCGTCCCAGAAGCCATTGCTGGGCTGAAGTAGCAGAGGGTTGACCAAGGGAGCTGGGAAGATGGTGCCCGGTAGTGGGGACTCTAAATCCAAGGCCATGAGCTCGGAGCCCAGCCGCGCTCAGTGGGGTACCTGTGGAAGGTTTTGAGCAGGAGGTCAGGCAAGAGTGTGCGTGGACTGTGACGGAGAGGCAGGCCATGGGTGGGGGGGGCACTGAGGAGGAGGAGGACGGGGAGGAGCAAGAGGAGGAGGAGGAGGAGGAGTGGAGCTGCCGTGGGGTGAGGTGTGCCAGGAAAGGAAGGGGTGTCCACGAGGTCCGGATGCCTGTGTACAGTTGCTTCTTGGCTTCTAGAATGCTCCGTATTTGTGCACTTTGGTTTTAAAGCTCCTTTTCTCCGTTTTGATACTTGCAGCTATTTTTCTTCCCAGGCAGAAATACTGGATACAATTCGGGGGTTGTGCATGTTATCCCTGGGTTGTCCAGTCCCAGCCTCTGCTACCATGCAGAATTGTGGGTAATCCACTCCCAGTGACAGAGAATCTGGGCACCAGGAGGTCTGTGACCTTAAGCAAACATCCCACGGCCAGGCCCAGACAAGGACTCACCCTCCGGAGACAGGGCCTCGGAGGTGGGCCAGGAGCTGGGTCTCCTGTGCAGGTGGGGCTTTCCCCTCCGCTGCGCATCCTGGTTCGCTAGGCGGGCGTCTAGGGGTGGTGGACAGGGGGGACTACAGTCAGTATTCTCTCAGGGCCGCAGGAGTCAGGGAGGCAGAAGGCGGCTGTAATAGTGAAGACAACAGGGAACAGAGACATGTGACCAACCCAAAATTAAATAGAGAGCCGCGTCACAGGACAACATAGTGGTTTCTTCCTGGCCGGCGATGGCTTCAGAGCATCCGTTTTAAACCCTCTGGGCAAATCTTGGAGACTGCAATGCATTCTAAAGGAGCCTTTATTTATTCTGTTAACTTAAAATGATTCATTGAAATCGTGGAAGACTTTACATAGCTCCCAAGAATATAGTAAAGGCTGGGGGCTAGAACCAGCACCAAGTTGAGCATCAACTAGTCAGTTGCCTCGCTCAGATGTGCAAGAGGCTCCCCTCTCTTCTGGACCCAGAGTCTGGCCCCTTGGCAGCCAGTCAGGGTGGTTTTCACCTTATTCCCACACACGCAATTTCTAGACGCTTCCCGGGACGAGCCAGGAGAGCCACGGGGGATGGTTGCCTCTCGCTGCCTCGGGATGAGTAGGAAACACGAAGCGAGGGGACAGGGTCTCATGGACTCACCCCGGAGGGACTTGAGCTCAGAACACGCATGGCGCCCCGTGAGAGCGCTCAGGGTCCTCGCAGAGGCAGGGCTTTTGCCCAACTGCAAAACTCGTCTGGAAATGGCTTGCAGAACGGTGCCCTATCTTGGAAGCAGCTCGATTCCTGTTGACGCGGCTCAGCCACCCTTGGGGTCCAGGCCTGGAGCAACACTGGGAAGCTGAGGCTCCCGACACCTGGAGGGCTGGAGAGAGAAAGGGCAGAGGGCGGCAGCAGCAGACCTCCAAGGACAAGCATGGCAGAGGGTCGGCTGGCAGCCCCACTGAGATCTCGTTCTTCCCTTGCACAAAACCATGTGCACACGACCCCTGGTGCTGGGCCACCAGATGTGAGATGGATACGGAGTGCCTTCCATGGCAGCATTTCCCGGGAACATACCCGTTCCCATCATCCTCCCCTCTCACCAGCTCATGCTTGCACTTCTCCCACCATTAGACTGCTGCACACCTGGGAGCCGTCACCGTTCATTTCTGCCTTCGTGTGAGTGAGTTTCCCAGTTCCTTTCAGAGAGCTGCCTTCGAGAGAGTGGGGGAAGGGAGAGGGCATAAGAGCCCTGGGTGCATGAGGGGAAGGCAGGGGTGCCATGCAGAGGCAGAGGCCAGAACAGGGACCCCCTTGAATAATAAACATTTGCCCTCTGCCTTCTAGTAAGTAGGCCAATGGCCCTGCTCAGGGAGGTTGGTGAGTTGAGTCCGTTCTATCACAGCCAAGAACCCAGCTGGGCCCGTGCCCCCCTGTGTCTAAGAGTGGCATGCAAAGAGACCAACTTGCGGCAAGATGGGACAATATTATTGTCTTGCACCATATTCCACTCATCAGTTTTTGGTGAAACTGTGGGTCCCGGAGGATTTCCACAACACTTCCTCTGCAGGTTTAGGAGTGAAGCCACCAGAGAAAAGCCTCAGCCACCATCACAGACTCGGCGTGCGACTCATTCATTACTCATGTTCCCCCCTCCCCCACCAAGACTCTCGGTGATCACCAGTCTGCCTGCCACACTGACCCCGTTTCCTGCCCACACTGCTCTCTTTGCCTTGTGTTACCATCCTCCCCTTTTCTTCTTGGTTCCGGCTTTGTCTCCCTCTCTTCCTTACCTGCCCGCCCCCCCGCCCCCCATCACAGCGATCCGGGTCCCACTTCCCGTCCTCTGTCCCTTCCTCACCAGCCTGTCTTTCCCGAGTTCTCTCCAGCCCTTGGCCCTGCTTCTCACTTCACCAGACTTTCAAAGCCTTTCAGCAGAGGAGCCTCAGATGTCACTGGCAACGTGAGATCCTGAAGGTTTTCTTCCTAAAATGCCGACCTGTCTCTTACTCTGAAGTCCTGAAGCCATCGGCCTCCTGCCTCAGCCTCGATGCCTTGAGAGAGATGCGCAATTGTACCCTGGGTGCCACAGGCGTGAAACTCAGCAGGACTGCCCTGTGGTTGCCGTGGGAAAGCCACCTGGGCCACCCAAGTGAAAAGTCCCAAGTCAGCCTAGGCCCTGGGCATCTGAGAGCTGGGAGCCGCACTGACTCCTGGAACGAGCTGATGGTGAGGGAAGAATTTCCAGTGCACAGAGGTGGCATCTGAGCTGAAGAGACAGCAGAGGACTCAGGTGCAGAGTCCTTCCTCTTTGCCTTCTAGGAGACTAGAAACCACATCTGCCTGGTCCATCACAGCTGGGGGCCCAGGATCACTGCGATGAGTCCGTAGGGACAGCAGGAGCCATGGCAAGAGTTGGCTGGTGGTTACTGTGGGCCTGTGGAGCAGGAGCTGCCCGGGTGCTCCTCTAAGGTTCTGAGAGCTCCACCCACCCACTCACCCACCCACACGTGGCTGAGGGCTCCTAGCCTGCAACAGAGGCTGGTACCCACCTGTCTTGTATATGCAAAGAGATGCCACAGATCTGTTTTTATCAAATACCCAATTAAGAAGTCACACTATTAGGAAACTCGGGAATATGAACATATGTGTTTCTCCCAAGACTTGGAGCTTTTCAGAGCCATTCTGAGAATGGAGGGGGTCAAGACTCCCCGGCGCGCCTGCGGGAGGCGCTGGAGGAGGAAGAGCAAGCACGCCCACTCTCCGCCTAAAAGAGCAGCCACGGAGGTTTGGAGATTCTGGAGCGTAGAGCCCTGCACTTCTCAGCCCCCTTTTTGGAACACGCAATCCCAGGCTTGGAAAATGTCATTTTGCTGCGTGTTGGCAAGAAATCCTGCAGCTGAGACACTTCTCTCCAAATGTCGAGCATCTTTATTTATCCAAATCTCTCCACAGTGTTTGTTTAAAGGGAAGTGCTAGAGAGTAAACTAAATTTTACAATGAGCATATGGATGGCTATAATTGCTGAGGGTGTTTTTTTTTTCATATTTGCTAACTGGCTATATATAAAACTGTGTTTCTCTTTTAGAGATTTCACACCCTGAAGGCTGCTAATTTTTGCATGCATATGATTTTCACATGAATGGATGGAAATACTAACATACTCTCCCCCCAGGATTGTCTAAGTGTCCCGGCCCCACTTTGAGAGCAGCCAGCGAAGGGGGCGGGGGAGACCCTTGCATTTTTCCCTCTCAGTTCCCCTGGAAGCCCCATTGGCCTCCTGATCTGGCACAGAAGTTCCACTGATGCTGGCACTTGTGTCAGAAAGAACCCTCTCTGCTCCCCAGTGCTTTCTGCATCGGTCCGTTCTGCCAACCTTCTCTTTGCGAAGTTTACGTAACGGAAATGACATCTGCCTCTGAATGAGCTGGTCATGGGGAACCCAGATTGCAAAGGGTATTTAAATGTACAGCCAACCAAGGAAAACAAATACGTACTTTGGTTTAGCCGTTGGTTTCAACTTCCCATCCCACCAAACCACCAATGCATTTGTAATCCCCGGCCCAGGCCCTGAGCGCCCCCTGGTGGAGATGTGAAGGAGCAAGGACATGGCCTTAAGTTTGGGACATAGGCAGGATCTTTATGGGGAGAAGAGCTAAGGCCCCAAGAAGAGAACAGCTTCCCAGGGTCACGTGTGGAGGCAGCGACAGTGCTGAGACTCCCCAGGCACAGAACACACCCCCCGGCTGATGTTTCTCCTGCCTCCCTGCTCTAGGACTTCAGGTCTTAGCTGCCAGAGTTGCTGTGTCTTGCTCCATTTCTGATCCCTCAGTGGGCATGGACGAGGTGTGCAGAAAGCCATGCTGGGGTATTATGGGAGATTCCGAGGACGATGAAAGCATCGTCGCTGTCTGCAAGGCACTTCCAAGCTAGTCAAGGACGTTCAGGAGCTCCACAGGATCAGGGGCCGGGGAGGGGCTGACCGCAGGGGCCCCAGTAGGACCGAGGAGGAAGGCCCCAGGGTCTGGAGCCTGGGGAGACAGGGAGGGTCTGCAGAGCAGCATCTCAGCCCAAGGCTGTGTTGGCAGGGAGAGCGCGGGCTCTGGGTTCCGTCCCATGTGGGTTCCTGGCCCAGCTCTGTGTCCGCTGGCTAACCTCGGCAGGTCACTCAGCTTCACGGAGCCCCACCTGGGAACCTGGCGCCCGGCGCAGGCTCAGGCGCAGAAGAGGTGCTTTCCACGCTGTGGTTCCCATTTCCTGCTGCTCAGAAGGAAGCAGACATGCGCCTGCTGGGCCTGGGGTAGGCACGGGGAGCAGAGCCACGGCCTGTTCCCATGAAGCGAACTTTCAACTGGGGAGGCAGCAGATAAATGCATATGTCAGGTGCTGTGCCATCTATGCAGTGAAGGAAAGCAGCAGAAAGGGATGGGGCCGAAAAGGCCTGTTCACATGCAATGAACAGAAGGTCCTTTCTGAGGAGACAGTAGAGCAAGAGACCACATGGCAGGGAGAGGGAGAGCCGTGGAGACATCCAGGCCCAACATTCTGGGCAGAGGGAACAGCAGTGCAAAGGCCCTGGGGCCGAGGAGGACCTGGGGTAGACTGGAGGAGGGGAGAGTGTACCAGGGCAGGAGCTAACAAGGAGCCAGACTGTGTGGGGCCTGCAGGCCATGGCAGGGCTTGGGTTGCCTCTGATGGGAAGGCGCTAGCTGGTTCTGAGCAGAGGACTGACAGACTATGACTCTGAGCAGCTATTCTTAGTCACCACTCCTCTTCCAGCCGCCCACATTCACAGTGGACTCGGGGAGCGTGACCTCGGAGGTTGGTTGAACCCGAGTGTAACCTGGCCTCCGTGCTGGCCCCGACCGTCCCCCCAGGTCCTCCCAGGGAGGCCCAGCGGACCCTCACCCTGGCAGGTGGAGCCAGGGGCACTGTGCACACTCTCTCTTTGTTCTTAGAACCCCCGTCACCAACATAACCCTTTGCCCCCTGCAGAATTCCAGCTTCCCGTGACTGAACCTGACATCAACAACAGGCTGGAGTCCTTGTGCCTCAGTATGACCG